TATGAAAAATCAAAGATTCGGTCGATGGGATATATAAATACTCGATTTCGATATGAAAACAATATCACATATCAATATTAGAAACTAGCTAGAACAAGCACATTAAAATAGCAAGAAATTAAATTTGCATGTGTATATATACTTACTAGTTAATTAGTACATGTTATAATATACTTATTAGTATGTTAATTTTGTTAATTAATTAATGTGCAGAAAAGGCAAAGATGGGAGAAAAAGAAAGGTACTTCTTCTAGACAGAGAGACAGAAAATACCCAACCGGCACAAGAACGAATAGAGCAACCGAATCGGGATATTGGAAAGCAACCGGCAAAGACAAAGAGATCTACAAAACTAGGTCAAAAAACCACCTTGTCGGAATGAAGAAAACCCTAGTTTTCTACAAAGGTAGAGCCCCGAAAGGAGACAAAACCAATTGGGTTATGCACGAATACCGCCTCGAAGGCAACTTCTCCGACTACAACTTCTCTAGGGCAGCTAAGGTAATTAATCAATTAATAGATAAAAACCTTTTTTTTTGTGTTTTCTTGATGATTAAAGATCACATTTTTATTTAAAGATTGCTTTTTTATGTCCAAAAAATGCAGGAGGAATTCGTAGTTTCTAGAGTGTTCCACAAGAGCACCGGAGTACGAAGAAACCCTGGTGACGAACTAGCAAGAATCGATCATGGCCCGACACTACCACCGTTGACGGACTACAATCCTTCTTCCGATTATTACCAAACAAATGATTATTACAAGAAGGATGCTATTGCATCACCACCTTCTTCTTCGAGGGTATTCTTGGAAAACCACAAATTAGAAATGCAGTACGACCCGAAAAACTTCCTCGTGCCACCTCATCAAAACTACACAAACCCTATTTTCTATACCCAAAATACCCTTCCTAGTTCAATGTTTCCATACCAAGCACCACCACCATCTTCATCTTCTCTTGCTAGTTATAATCATTACCAAGATGGATTGATTAGCTACCCCAACAATATTTTTCCATTCAAAGGAGGCGATTATTACTATAATAATCAAGAAAATAATTCGAGGCTCGTAGCACCGAAAATGGAGCAATATTTTTCGTCGAACAATTCCGTGATCAGCCATTCGCAAGACACTGGGATTAGCACTGAGAATATCAATAATGCTGTCGAGATAAATTCGGTGCATTCTTCCAAGGGAGATGTCGAGAGCAAGAAGGCGTTTGATCAAGAACTCGAGGGTCTCGAATTTAGTCCGAGTAATATTCCCGATTTCGATTCTTTTTGGAACAACTAAATTAACAACACAGATGTATGGATTAATCTTCAGTGTAATTACGTTAATTATTATTAGTACGATTTAATTATGTTCCCTTCTTCGCCGGCTGTATTTTTCGTCCGGTGGGAAGGGAAATTAAGGTTTCGTGGTGGTTCGAAAACTAATGTATATATATCACTAATTGTATCAGTTTTTTTTTTATAGGAAGTTTGTTTGTACGTTTGATTTTCATTCATTCATTTTCATCTGCAGTTAATATAATTAGTTGTTTGGTTATTTTCAACTTCTTTTTTTCCTGGCGATTGTAGTAAATTTGAAATTTCCAATATAGATTTAGTCAAACAGTAATTTATTATTAAAGAAAATGGACAACTATTTTTTTTTATAAAGAAAGTGGCTATGCATGTATTAACAAGTCTTATTAGGGAATTTGAAATAATAATACTAAGAATAGTAGTAATTATAATAATAATAATAATAATAATAATAATAATAATAATAATAATAATATAAAAAATGTTATCTTTGATATATTCTTTTAATTTGTAGTTGAACTTAGAATATATATATATATATATATATATATATATATATATATATATATATATATATATATATATATATATATATATATATATATATATATATATATATATATATATATATATATATATCCCTAGAATTAAGGGTGAAAAGAAGCATGATCCATGATTCATTAATGATTAAGGCATTATTATCCATCAATGATTGGGACAGAAAAGTAGAAAAAGAAAAACAATAAATTAATTATCCAAGAAAATAATTAATTAATGAAGTGTACACACAAAGGTATAATAGGGTTAGCTGTTGGAATATTCCAAGTTTCCTTTATGAATCTGCAAACTTATCCGTTTAGTGCTCCTTAAACTATGCATGTACTCCACCATTCTTTGGACCACTAATTAATTACTTCTCTTTTATTATTAATTTTTATTTTTGCTATATTATATTGTCAGCTTCCCTTCTTCAAACCTGTCCAAATAACAGACACACATTGAGAGAGAGAGAGAGAGAGAGAGAGAGAGAGAGAGAGAGAGAGAGAGAGAGAGAGAGAGAGAGAGAGAGAGAGAGAGAGAGAGAGAGAGAGAGAGAGAGAGAGAGAGAGATTGTATAATTTGGTAGTTAGACGTAAGCTTAGTTGTTCAGTATTGAAAGCTAAGCTTCGCTATGGTTGGTTCATGCTTGCACGTGTGGTAACCATGATTTTCAAATTTGATACTTATTCATTTAACCAATTATTTTGTGAGTTACTGAATTGGATATATATATATATATATGCAATGGAATACCGGAGTCGACCCGAAAAATTATTAGTTGTCGTTTACTTACGAAACTTTTAGAATTCATAATACGAAATTATGAACTATCTATTATTCTTTAATACTATAGCAAATGTAGCCCAATCGAAATCGGACCCGGTTTTCTAAACAAAAGCAATCGACCCATACATTTTGCGGCCCAACCGAATATATATAACAACATGCTTCCAATTTTCCAAACAGAAGTAATCAACATTTTACCCTCTAGTATTTTTTTTCTGAAAATTATTTTAAAATTACTTTTATTTAAAACTATATGAGATTTTGATTTTCAATCTGATCTTAATTTTTTTTCTGAAAACAATTCAAAAGAATCCACTTTTCGTTTCAACATTTATAATATGAATAATATAGTATTGTACATCTTATATTGTGGATGAATGACAATTGAATTTCCAAATTCTCTCGATTCCCATCGAAAAAAAACCCGTTTTTGGAATTAAATTTTCCACTCCAATTTTCATTTTTTACAAAATTGTAATATAACTCAACATCATCAAACTCGAGGAGAAAAAAAAAAAAAAAAAACCGAAACCGTACAATTCTACAGTATTTTTTGTTGTCTCGTTCGTGGGGCCGTGCGTGAAAAATCAAGTGAAGACGAGACAAAGAAACAAGAACCTTAGTTCCACATAACTAACTATAATATTCCCCAATGTTGCATAAAATTAACAAGAAAATAACCCTATTTCCCCGGAATAAACTAAGACAGAGGAGTAGATTCTCTTCAGGATTTAAAAAAAAAACAGAGGAATTTATAGTTCTAATCAACTAAGTATAAACCTAGCTTCTATATAAACCCTTCAGCCAAAAAATGCATGCTTTCTCACTCACTCCCACACACATTAAAAAAAACACGTTACATATACCGGAAGAAAGAGAAGAGAACAATGGCCACCGGAGCAGCAGATTTAATGTTTCGGTGCGTGTTTGACGGAAGCTTGTCTATGGGTGACGTGGACATCGAACGGAGGCCATATCACCGTGACTGCAAATGTGCATTGCATGAAACTAAAGGCAAATGCTCGCATAGTAATGGGAATATTTCGTTCCCGATAAGAGAATTTAGGAGCAAGTGTTCCTTGTCACTATCATCTTCCAATATTTCGACGAAAATAGATTCTAGTTGCAGTAGAGTGCAATGTCAAAACTCAGCAGATAAAAAGCCGTTTTGACTAGATTTTTTTTTTTCGGTTTTCAAGGTCGTTTGTCACTCCTCCGGTCACAGTTAGGACTCGAGGAAGTGTGAATTAGTAATTAGTTAAAGAAAATTTTCTTTCTCGAACACATATCTGAACTTGCTTTTCAGATTACGGATGCTAATTTTATGTCGTCTTTGCTTCCTTTTTTCTGCCTCACATCGTACTTGCCTCAAAGTAGTCGAAGAATAATACGACAAAACGTACCTTTATTCTACTAATGACTATTGCACATATTTCTTGATTTTGTAAAGTTAAACAAGTAAACTATGAAAAATACTTACTTATCGAGATGCTAATAATATTACAGAAATACCATATACGAAAGTTTGTTTATTGTAAATAGACGAGGTGTCTCACGAATATTACATACAAGAATGTAATAATAAGTAAACGTTTTGTCTCTTTGTAATTGTACTGATTTAACCACCCTTTTTTTGTACTACTCGAATACAACTTAAGACTATTACAATGTATTATAGCAACATTGTTTTGTCCAGCCTATGACTTAATCGCCTATACACCACTTATATCAATGTTCTAATTATTCAAAGATTCTCCAATGTCTAACTACATAAATCCCTACAATGTAATGCTTCCATAAGAAATATGCTTATGTACTCACTAGCGAAACTTCGTAACAGAATCTCCAAATTTCACCAATCAGGCTTCTTATAAAAGCGAGAATAAAGGGTCACCAAAAAAAGTAAATTCACCATTGTCTTAAATGTAACTCGTAAATCGGTAGCTAATGTTTATTGACATCATCAAAAGTCGAAGAAAAACACCGAAACCTAAAAATACTACGGGTATTTCTTGTTATCTCATTTGTGGGGCCGTGCATAAAGAATTAAGTGAAGACGCGACAAAGAACAAGAACCTCAGTTCCGCACAACGAAACATATTCCCCGATGTTGCAGAACAGAATAAATAAATAACCACATTCGCCCGTACTCTACTAAGAGCGAGTAGATTCTCTTTTTCTTTTCTTTTTTTAACACAAATAAAAAAAATAAAAAAAAATAAAAAACAGGGGAATTTATGCTTTTGACTTTTCTTTAGCAGACAGCTTGTTTTGTCTTACTCATGTTTAGATTTCTAAGACAACAATTTTACACACAAACACAGAATCTAATTGTTCTGTGTAGAGTCTAGGTACCACTACGGCATCATAGTTGTAATCAGACAAGTATAAACCTTTACCTCTATATAAACCCTTCAACCAAAAATGCAAATTCACTCACACACACACACTTGAAAAAAACAAATAAGAGATATAGAAAACGAGAGAAGAAAGAGAAGAGAAGAATGGCAACTGGAGCAGCAGATTTAATGTTTCGGTGTGTGTTTGACGGAAGCTTGTCTATGGGTGACGTGGACATCGAGCGGAGGCCATATCATCGTGACTGCAAATGTACATTGCATGAAACTAAAGGCAAATGCTCGCACAGTAACGGGAATATCTCGTTCCCGAAAAGAGAATTCAGAAGCAAATGTTCCTTGTCGCTATCATCTTCCAATATCACTTCTCAATCTTGTTATGTTCGTATTTCGACAAAAATAGATCCTAGTTGCAGTAGACTGCAATGTCAAAACTCAGCAGATAAACCGCTGGCTTAATTTTTTTCTTTATTTTTATTTTCGGGTTTTAAGATCTTTTTGTCACTCCTCCAAGTATATGTAGGACTCGAGGAAGTGTAAATTAGTAATTAGTTAATGAAATTTCTTCTCAAACACATTTCTGAACTTGCCTTCACATTTGATGTATCTACTTTTCCTTTCTATCTCACAACTTGCCTCAATTTAGTCGAACAATAATACAACAAAATGTGCCTGATTCTACAATAATAATTATTGCAGTACCGATTTCTCGATATTAATAAAAAATGTAACAAGTAAACTATGGAACATGTGATTGTCTGGCTGCTTTATAATATGACATAAATATCAATGCTAAAGCCTAATTCGTGAATAAAGATTCCAAATACGGAAGTTTGTTATCGTAAATCTCGGAAGTGTGTCAAGAATACTTTATACAAGGATGTAATAAGTAAATGATTTTTGTTTTTGCCCTTGACAAGGCAATGAAAGCTTACTGGTAATCTAAATCAAATGACAGTTTTTGTCAAGTTTTTAACGCAGAAGCAAAACGTGCATGACGTGTCTGTACTAGATAATAAATGCAGACAAGTCAATATTTGAAGCTGAAAAATGACCAAAAATCGAAGATCAGACGAAAGAATCAAAGGAGCAGAGAATTATGGGTGGTGTGGTCTAGGAATAACTAACAAGATATTGTCTTGTCC